CTCTTTTTCTTGTTGTAGTATCAGTACTTGGTTATTTACAATATGATGCCAGTACAGATCATTTTTAAAATATGATTAAACCAAAATTTATTTATATTTGACCAAGGAATTTATTATTAGGAAATTTATTTTTCCAGTTATATTTTGCTTATGTTGTTAATTCATTTTATTACTAAGCAAATGCCATAGCAGAAATGGGTCTCCAATAGGAGGAAATGGCCTGGGAATGTGCTTATTTATAAGGGATGCCAATTCATGAAAGCCAAGAATTGGCTTATGAACATATCTCTTGGTTAGAATTACAGCAGGGAATGTGATAAAACTAAAGCCTGGATATAGGTTGTGAAAGTCCATGTATTTTTTCAATTGTATTACTCATGTATTTTCCCAGGTCATTCATCTGGTGAGATTGCTTTTCTGCTTGTTGCTGTGTAGTCCCTCTTTGTTAGGGCCCTTTAAGATCATGCTGTTTACTTAGCTCATTAAACTATTGCTTTGTCTCTGCCTTTTGAGATAAATGAGCAGTGCAAGATAAAAGAAAGCTTAAATCCAAAGGCCCAAGACTCATATAAGAGACTGTCTTGAAATTACTGGTCTCTCTTGCCTATGCCAAGTGGAAATATGAATAATCACTAAATTTAAAAGTCTATTAAAAATTGCTAAGAGAATATTTTAAAAATTACCTTTGCATAAAGTAGGGGGTGACATGTTTCAAAAGAAATGAAAAGGTCAGGATTTGTTAGGTTGAGTTCTAGGACTACTGTATATGATGGTAGGTGCTGTCTGTAATCTAAACAACAGTTTAGGACCTACATTTTCCGTTTTGTGAAAATTTCTTCTTTTCTTTCTGGCCTGAGTAACCTGATTTCATTTAGCTTCTGTTGTAGTTTTAATCTTCACATCTGAACATGTTCACCAAATGTGATTTCTATAAGCAGAAATTGTGTTAAGGTCTACTGTGATGTGAATCGGACCTTAGAGAATTTAGGTGACTTCACTTGACCCTTTTTCCTGCACAAAGTTCTCTCTCAGTTTTGTCCAGATCAATATAAAAAGTATCCCACAAGACTTAGTCCTAGGAGGCAGATTGAGATTTGTTTATTTGCAAGTTTGAAGGTACTAGCCAAGACATAGACAACCCAAAAAGGTGCTTAGCCCAATTAGAGCCTGTCAAGGACTGAATGGGTAAGATTTAAGATAAATGGAGATCTTATTTATCTTGTTTTACATGTTTCTCCATAGAAAGCTACTCTGGTTGAGCATGGAATTCGCCGCCTTACTTTCCTGGTTGCACAAAAGGTATTGGCAATATGTGAATTATACCTCACTAACATTTCTTATGCTGCTGCTAGAATAAAAAAAAAAAAAGGAATTATAATCATACACTTATTTGTAAAATTTATGCAGAGAAAAAACTATTTTCTATAAGTTTAAGAAAAACATTTAACTCATCACCTTTTACTCGATTCAATTTTAAATTTAATTCTTCCCTTTGTGTCTTTCATTTGAAAGGATTTCAGGAAACAGATCAGCTGTGAGGTGGATCAGAGATTTCATGTAAGTAAAGGGAACAATAAATGAAATATTATTTACTGTTTTATCAGTTTACCACTGATTATTTAAACATAGAATACGTGTGAGTTATTTAGAAGGGCTGGACTAATGTCTGGTCCCTCTTCTTTTAGAAAGTATTATACTGACTATTCAATTCTTCTGTAGTTTTTTTTTCCTTTTTTTACCCTATAACATCCTCAGTATATCTCTGAGAAATAATTAAGAATAAGCATATGCGTATATCCAGATGAGTAAGGTAGAAGCAGGAGCTAACTAGTAACTTCTACCCACACAGTGAGTCAGTAGTCAAGAACTGCCAATTGCATTTTGGGGTCTTGGCTTTTACCAAAGATGGATTCAAGTTCTATTATTAAGAACTCTCAGTTATGAAAAACAATAATTTATTATTAAAATGCCTTAACAGAGCCCAAGTTGGTACTTTTGTCTTATGTTAATTTTAGGAGCAAGAAATAAATAAAAATTGAGCATTAAGTTGTTTGTTCTCCCATTTAACTGAATTAACTGTTAATATTTGTGAGATTAAAAATTTTATTGAAAAGATAAGTTAGTTAATAGCCTGGTATCTGAACTATAGAATACCCATATGATCATACCCAGTTTGATGATAACACTAAGGCCCAAAATCTCGTTTGCAATCCAGATCTCATTCTCTAAAATGGCTGATCGTATTAAAAATATTTATTTATAGGTTGATTCTAATGGAGCTAAGATTCCAAAGGATATTAGGAAGTTTTAATTTTCCTGATAAGAATTTTATTTTGTTTTGTTTTAGCAATTAAGATAATTAAGTTAGTTTTCAAGCCTTGTCATTTGCAATAATGAAGATAACATTAGGGATTCTGGAAAGGACTTTCTAAACCCAAGTACCTATGCGGGGTTGCTTTTATTGCCCTTTTGTTTATTAGGTCTTTAGCACTTGGCATTTTGTTTTCCTTCTTACAGTTCACCTTGTTGGTCTAGTCCAGCAATTTTTAACCTTTTTCATCTCATCGCACACAAACTAATTAAAATTCTGCAGCACACCAAAAAAATATATTTTTTGCTGAGATGACCAAAAAAATAGGTATAATTTTATACTCACACCAGATGGCTATTGTTGTGTTGGCTGTTGTCATTTTTTTATTTGACAATCTAAGGGAAAAGAGGTCAGTTACCCTGACTAAATAGTCAGGTATTGCGTGTTTTAAAAATTCTTATGGCACATAGGCTGAAAATCATTGGTCTAGTCTATAGAGAAACAAGAGCCTACCCTACAAACTAAAGAGCTAAGATTTCCTGAAATGCGTTAGGAAATGTTGTGAACTGCATAACTCCCCTGTGTTATTGATGTCAGGAAACCAGACACCAGAGTGTAGATATAGATCAGTCAATAACTTCAGATAGGAAACTAGAGGCAGTGAAGAAGTATGAGGAGCTTAAAGAGAACCCTGGGGCTTTAGGGAGAAAAATCCAGAACTTAGAGAATAAAATTGATACTTGGGGATAGAATATGAGACCCATGAATAAATACTATGGCTGGAGGATGCTGATCAGAGCTAAGACAGACATGCCACAGCCAGGCCCTGGATTTGGGAAGAGTATTGGGCTAGGTTTAAGTGTTAGCATGACTTTTCTTTTTTCACTGACTTTGGGATACTATAATTTTCTGGGGAATAATATTGAATTTGAAAAATTGTTTTCCTTTTTCCTGATGGTTCAGATAGAGTCTTCATGTCTATAGCACATGAACTGGTTTCTCATAATAAACATTCCATGATAAATTAACACTCCACCAAAAATTTTAAAAGCCAAAGCAATTACTTCTCATGGGCATTTTTTTGTATGTGCATACATACCAAAAAAACCCCCTGTCTTACCTCTGAATCTATGTCATGTCCTAGAGTCTATGTATAGCTTTAAAACATTTTTTTTCCTCCCTGTTATTCTAATATTTCTGGATTTAGGTTGAATAGGGACATGTATAGACAAAATCTGCTAGGAAATGAGCCCGGCAGTGGGTCTTTCCTGGGAATCATGGTCCAGTTCCTATTTATAGTGACATCAAGTGGGAAATCAGTTACATTATCGAGTGATGTGATTTGTCATGAGTGTAGGAAAGGTTGCTTTAGGACTTAGAGAAATTAAGATTTAGGTATAGACTGAATTTTCTTTGAAGAATTGAAAGGCAGAGGAGTTGGGTTATTTTTATGTTAGGCCTCTTAGAAATGATTAGTGGTTACACAGGGGGCAAGGGCAACTATTACTGAATTCCATCCAGGATCTACTGTAGCCAGGATGACTTGGCAGGAGCTGTACAAATCCGGGGCTCGCTGCCATGGTACTTCTGTAAGTTCCTCTGCTGGTGGTAGCTTGCCATTCATGAAGGGTGCTTAGCCTCTGTCATGTCATCTGATGTGCCCTTGCCCCATAGTTAGTGTAGTGTGAAAAAGAGGAAGCTTTCCCTGAGTGTTAGAGATGAATCTCTTGATCTCTCTGGCTTCTTGGTAATCCACTGTGATGTATGCAGTCTCCCTGTTCTACACTGTGAAATCCTTATATTATTGAATAGAAAAGAGAATGCAGGGGCAAGGAGAGGAGGAAGGTTACCAAGTTTGATTCAAGAACAACATTGGCTGGTGTGGGATGAAGCAGCTGTGCTGTTGCCTAGTCGTCTCTCAGACTGCTTCAGAACCGGAACAAGGCGAATGAGGGCCAGAGTAGAGGTTCCGAGAGGGGTCTATTGTTAGGTGTTTATTCAGATGCCAGTGAAGGCTATAAGCATTTCAAAGCTTCGTTGTTTAATCTCACAGTCCCACTGGAATGCCTGCTGCTTCCTTAGTCTCTTTACGTGGAGCCTGTTCTGAGCTGGCAGTATTTGTCAGCATTAAGGACACTTGGTGTCGAGTCTGTTTCAGAACCATCTAATTAAATCAAGTACCTATAATGGGATTTGAATAACTGCTTAACATTAATATATAAACAGAAAGTTTGAGGAAAAATGAGCCTATTCTTGTAAATATCTTCATATTAAAAAATATATATTGAAGCCTTAAAAGCAAAAGAACAGGCTTTGAATTTCTGCAGCTATGAAAGCTGCATGCAGTACTCTAGTTTCATGTAGTATTAAGTCTCTGTTAGTTTCACTCACATTTCAGGTTCCAAAAAGTGTAGCTGAAGGGGCTATTTAATTGGAATATAAGTATTACACTTTTCGAAGTTTCCATACTTTTTTTCAGCCAAGTGTTTTCAAGGATACTAAAATGTATATTTTCAGGATTTCTTCTTATCCTTTGCCACCTAAGCAGAAGCATTAGGTCCAAAAACTGATGAGATTCTAAATAAGTTTCCTTTTGATTCTTGTTTGTGAGATTTCATGAGATTTTAAAAATTTTACTCTAAATCACTTAGGAGATAGTTATACTTTTACTGATTTTATGTGAATGACTCCCACTTTAAATTTAAATGTTTTGGAAGGAAGAGCCCACTATCGAAACCAGTTATCATGGTTAGTAGTTCATTTCTTTAAAAACAATTTGATATGTCAACTATATCTCAATAAAGCTGAAAAAAATTAGTCATTTTGTTTGCTAGTGGATCAACTATTAGTTTTTCAGAAGGTTTGGTTTGGGTTTTTGTTTTAATTACAGTCTATATAATTAGTTCTCAGCATGTTGAGGTAAAAGAGAATTGCACCAGCAAGCTTTCAATTTCTTCATCTCATTAGGTTTTTAACACGATTATTAGTATCATAATCAGCTATGATGTTTTGTGTTGCAGGTTTTCACATTCCCTGATTTGCAGGGTGTCTTGATTGGCTAATTTAGGCAAATTATTTTGATTGTCTTGATGATGGTTGGCTGATTAGAACACAGCAGGAGTATAATTTCTTCCTGAGAAATGTTGCATTCTTTTGTTTTTTGGTACCAGAACTCTAACAGGGTTTTCTTTGTGTACATTCAATTATGATATTTGCCCATAACACTGGTAGAATGCCTGGAAAGCAATTACATTAGTGATAGAATAAGCATGAATGCAGTTAGTGGAAAAATTGGCAATATGAGGATGAACTACGATGAAGGAATTTCCTGAAACTGTAGGATCAGACTTTTGGACTTGTTATTTTCTGTCCTTCTGTGATTTATTTATTTATTTTTGTGTCCCAAAAGAGGTGACTCTGTATAAAAGCCCTCAGACTTGAAGAATTGCTCATTAACCCTGTTTTCCCATTGCACAGAAGTTTTTACCATCTCCTGTTCTGAATGCTTCATGCTTAAATTGTGGACTTTACTGGAGAGCTAAAAGTTTACTCAAAAGTTAAAAAAAGTTTGGTGATATCATCTCATGACACCTTTTCTTAGCTAACTCTCATGAAAGTGGTTTTTCTGATTGGTGGTCTATTCCCACCTCTGCCAAGGATTAGTTAGGCTCTTTCATTATTTGTAATAAAGGCATTTCTGTTCACATTGTTTGCTTTTCATGCCTTTCAGTTACTGCACATTTTCTTAATTGGTTTAAGTGGTGAAGAAAGTGATTTTTTTGGTTACCATTGTTTTGTTTTTGAAGAAAAATGATATTGGTCCTACAGTTGTACACACTTGAATAAATGATGTACTAAATAAATATTTTAATTAATTAATCAATCATTAAGGCAGAATAGAAGAGTGTGTGCTTAAAAGATTGTATTTTCACTTTCCTTGATTTTTCTTTCAGAAAATTTCATGAAAGGATTTTGTTCCCCTTCCTTTTTTGACTTGTGTTAATGCTCTGAAAACCAATAAAACAAAAATGAGACTATAAAGCCCTGAGCATGAAACCTACTGACAACGCAGGTGAACATCCTGCCTTACCTTGAAGTTATCTCCATGTTCTTTACTGTCATTCGGGGGAATTAGAGAATTATTTAGAATGAAAACACCATCAGTAAAAGATCATTGCTGTGTAACGTCCACTTTCAAAAGGCTTTTAAAGATCCAAGCCTGGACACGGGGTTTCCTGGGCTTGCTAAACAAGCTCCAAGAAGCCTGTTAAATGCAGTTTTACAATTAAAATGCAAGGAAAATGTAAGAAGATTTATTAACTGTGCAAGCTATAGTTAAATGAGGGTGAGGTGTAGTACCTGTGGAAAGTATTCAAGAAATCCTCAGTAAATTCAAAAACCACAAGGTTTCAGCATGAGTTATGCTTTGTTTTTTTTGTTTTTTTTAATTTTTAAAATACGTCTTAATTTCTGTTTGTTGTCTCATCAAAGAGAAGTCCTCTGAGGAATCTGGATTATAACAAGAATGGAAAGGTAATTCCCTACACTTGAGAAGTAGAGTGGTAGAGATGAAAGGGCATAAAGAGTCCCAAGTTCATTATTCCAGGTTTCTGATCCTGGGCATATCACTTGGTCGTGGCTTCCTCAGCTGTAAAATCGGATACCTACCTCAAGAGGTCGTTGAGAGCATTCGAGGGGACAGCACATGAGAGCACCTGCCACCTAGAAGGCTTTCATTTCAGTTCATGTTTCCTTCATGGTTCCTAAAGCTCATTGAGGGACATTTATGCAGCTAGTCCTGGTCTCTCTGCTGTGTACCGATGAGTGTTTGATTATATTGCATTCATAATGAAGAAGATGCCTAATGAAACCTCCTATAGAGGCAAATAGTAATGATTTGATTCCAACACCGCCAGGAGAGCTTCCCATCCGAGAAACAGGGGTATTTGGTGTTAATAAGTTAAATTTCAGAAACTAATGGACTCTGCTAATTGAATTCATCTTTGTTAATTAATAAGGTTCTAGTAAATTGGTTGCTTTCTTTCGTAATGCCCTGCAAAAGAGCAGTAAGACCAAATGATTCTAAGTTCACTGGTTCCACCCCATTCTTTCCTATACATATAGTGGTAGTGACCAAAGTAACATCTTGTACTTTTCTTTGTCTTGAAGAGTTATTATTTAAACCCTTGAAATTATTGACTTGAGAGTGAATGAGGAAAACACAGATTGGGGATTCTGTGCTTTCTGGCTAGTTTACATTTTAAGACTTTCTTAAGGGGAAACTTGGGAAATCAGTCCAGTAACTACCATTGCATTGCTGAAGTTTAGGGGTATATTGGTTTTATTTGCCAGGTTGTGCCAGGAGCAACACCCAGGAAGATTTTTTTTTTCCTTGGGAGATGAAAAAATACTCCCCCCCCCCCCC